TTGGATCTAATTAGATGTAAATTTTAATGTACTAAGCTGGTTGACTTCAGAAGATGCTGGAAAGGACCATAACCTCAAGATTCGATCTTCTCCTGAGTTTATTTCAATGAGCATCAGTTTATATTGTCATTCTGAAAAAAGACATGCTTTGTGTTGACCTAATCAAGACATTTTTTGTCTAATTTTTTCTTGTTACTTGTTCAAGTTATGCGACAATAAAAAAAATCTATTATAATTGCCTTGCTTAAGACTCATCCGCAAATATAAAACATTAAGTGTATTCATATAATGGCTGTTAATGTACTAAATACACATGACCATCACTAACAAGTTTGATTAATGTTTTTGTTTCTCATGAGAATGACAATGACTCTTGAGCCTGCAAGGTATTTAAGTAGACGTGCCTACTATTTGAACAGTGTTTATTTCATCTATCAGTCTGCACATCCAAGGAAAATCGACTGAGAGGATTCAAAACTGTGGCCCCTTCATAGGAGATACTTCTGTCTGATCAGGTGTGCTTTGAACAACTGGACAATGGGCACTATGGTTCTATTTGCCTTAAAGCCCATTGCAATCAAATTTTTTTCTTGACAGCCATATCTGCTCAGTTTTATATAACATAGACAAAGTATATTCTAAAGACTTAATAGAGATTTTTTATTTTTAATCTGGCATATTTTTATTACTTCAAATGTTATTTTTAGTGGATACCCATATGTGAGTAGAACATGACATTTTTTAAACAGTGGTTATTTTGTCTATGCACATTCAAGGAAACTCAATAAAGAAAAAAGAAAAATGTGCCCTTTGGCAGGATTTGAACCTTTTCCCTTTTCTTGATTAGTGTGATCGCCATAAAAAAGTTCTGTTATTTATAGGGGTTTTTATCTTTATTTCCTCATTTTTTCCTCTGACTTAATACATTTTTGGGAAGGGTTTCATTTTTCTTCTCATGGAGGAGAAAATGCTTAAAATTTGTAGAAATGATAGACAGTTGACACTGAATTATGACAGAGTTCACTGAAGATCGTTGATGACTTGAACTCGGGACTGACAAGGACATGTTGAAGACTTATCAAGAGAGAATTTATATATTTAAATATCAGTCTTTTTCAAACTCTGAAATCTTTATGCACTGTGGCCATGTGGAAATGTCAAAAGACACATGATTCTAAATCAGGTGACAAAACATGTGAGACAGATGACTGCGCCCTCTTTAAAAGACATCCATAAGGAAAATAGAATGAAATCAGAAACAGAATATATTATGTTTTCTCCAGTCATTCTTCTCACTGGACCAAATGTCAGGCTCCTTTCAATGTGTCAAACAGATGAAGCAAAAGCTGAATGGCTACTGGCAGAAGCTGTCCACACAGGTTGAGATGCCAACAACGTGGAGGTGGTGCCATGTTTTAAGGTGGGATTATAGGTGTTGAAGGGGTGGGGTCATGGCAGATTCCAGATGGTGTTAAGGTGACAGCTCAGTAATCACTGATTTTTTTTTTTTTAAACAACATATGTAACCATGTACAGCAGGATGTTAAATGCTTTCAGAAAGATCATTTTTATGCATGACAATGAGACATCATATTTAGTAACCATCAGTGAAACAGTAGGAAAATTTCAGTCACTTTCCCACCAACTAAAAAGTTGCTTCCCTGTGCCTTTTCTATAAATATTTTCATGGTAATTATTCTGATAAGCTTTACCCTTTGGTATCTAGACTTTTTTTAGTTTAGCCATTTTAATTTTTCATAATTTTTAGAAAATTAAAGAAAGGATTCACAGAAATATTTGCACTATTAATCCATCTGTCTATTGGTGCGCACTAATCTCATGACCCATCAGGGTCGTAGGAGTACCACATGTACTGCAACTGCAGTAGAAGTGGTGTTATAGAGCCCATATATATATATATATATACATACACCCCTCAAAAGTGTATAAAAATAATATGTAAATTTAAAACAATTTCTTATGCTTGGAAATGTGATCTGATGACCCAGAAAAAAAAAACACCTTAATGGAGAAATAAAATATAATCAATAGACTCTTAAGGTTCTATGATTTTTAATTTTAATTAAATTAACATATATATATATATATATATATATATATATATAAAAGTGAACATTGAAGTCAACACTTAGAGGCGACAGGCTGTTTCATGCTAGACGCAATCGCCTCTAAATGTTGACTTCAATGTTGACATTTATATTTACACACGCTCTGTGATATTTACCACTTTATCCCATGAATATAACACACCTTAAGAGTGTATTTCGTCATATATATATATATATATATATATACATATTAATTAAATTATATATATATATATATATATATATATATATTTATAATTAAAATTAATATATATATATATATATATATATATATATATATATATATATATATATATATATAATGTGCATTTAAGCAACAAGAATGATATCCAACAAATTTTATTAAACAATACCAACAAAGTCTGTTTAACTTTTAATTTTTTTATTATTTTTTTCTAACTTCTAAGTTGTTTTATGTCAGAATTAACTTTACAAAGTTCATTTATTGTAGCCATCCTTTCAAAATTAATTTATTGTGTCCATCCGAGTACTTTCAACTGTTACTATTAAGACATTATCAAGAATTGTGTGAATACAAAAAATGCATGTATAAATTCAATTTGGCCCTTTGAGATGGTGTCACCTTTAAGTGACTTGAACCTGGTTTAGAAATTCTGAAATTTGCTAAACATGCAATTCTAATAACACACACAACTGTGACACACAATTCTTAATAATGACTTTAGTGTTAGCTGAAAGTTCCAAGATGGATACAATAAATGAATTCTTATTTCTGTTATGACATATAATATATCATAATGTAATAAGTATTTAATGTAATAAGTATTTAATATGTTAGAACACAATGCTAGATTTGATTCACATTAGAAATTGTTTTTCTTTAAAAACTTTACAAAAATTTTGTGTTCAATACTTTTGTATGTGACTGTATGTAGAAGGTGAGACATTTTAATTCATGGAATGACCTTGTGAAACCAAAGTTTGGTTACCTGGTCAGTATTGCCTGCGGTCACCTTTTAAAGTGGTTCCTTTGTAAAGTTTCTTACTTCATGAGACCATGGTACCATTACTGGAAACATTCTTTGAATTCATTTCCTGGAATACCTTTCAGTAAGGTACATAAAAGTATAAAGAGACAGCAGTGATAAAAATGTCTATAAAGAGAAAAAGAATAAGGAAAGAAAAGTGTAGGAAATTCAGAGAAAGGAAGGAAAAAAGGGGAAAGAAAAATGAAGGAAATTCAGGGAGAAGAAAAAATAAGAAGAAAAAATATAGGATATTCAGAGAGGACAATAAAAGAGAAAGAGGAAAGAAACATGTAGGAAATTCAGAAAGAAGAAAAAAGAATAAGAAAAGAAAAATGAAGGAAATTCAGAAAGAAGCAAAATAATAAGAAAAAAATATAGGATATTCAGAGAGGACAATAAAAGAGAAAGAGAAAAGAAACATGTAGGAAATTCAGAAAAAAGAATAAGGAAAGAAAAATGAAGGAAATTCAGAAAGAAGAAATCAGTTGTAATTACAAAATGAATTGATAAAAATTATGGAGAGAGATGAAAAATTTAATGTTGAAAAAAGGGGCAATATGAAAAAAATATAATGAAACCAAATCTTAACTATTAGTTTTTCTTTCATCTTGTTTCAACTCCAATTTTCCTCTCAAAATCAATAAATCTATAAGTCGACTTTGATCAGTTGTATTTAATAATTCTACAAAGACTGGCTGCAAGAGATGTTATCTACATATTACCCACTTCCCCTGTCACATATCCTGACTTTTTAAAATACAGGACCTATTCACAAAGTTAATTCAAAACAAAATAGGTCAATCATCTCATTTGTACAATAAGTTATTTTACTCTTCATTTAAATAAGTGGCTTTTATTCACTTTGTACCATATTATAAATCACTTGATATTCATTTAGATGGTGAACACTTGTAGGAATATAGTGCTTAGTATTTTGGTCTTACAATTCATTCTTGTTACATAGCATGAGTAGCCAAAGGCCTGTCCATAAACCACTTACAGCTCGTTGATATTTTATGTGCAACACGTGGAAGTATGTTTACCAAGCTCTTTTCTCCTCATAGTTAATATAAAAGATAAACAAAAAAAAACATTTCTAGATTTATTGTTTATTATTATTATTATTTCCGGTTATCCTGATTTGCTGCTTGGGATAAACTTTTAGAAAATCTTTTAACAGAGACCTGAGATAAAAGGAGCTTTTGTTTGGAAAGTTATTGAGAATATTGAGGGAGATTTCTGAGTAATGAGCATTAATATTCATGAGCAGGGGTTTCTTGTTAGAAGTGGTGGTGATGGCTGTTATTGTTGATGACGATGATGATGGTGATTATTATTATTATCATCATTTGTGTATGTTATGTTTCCTGCTTTGTATCCTGTAGAGCTGGGTCCAAACTACAGTCCTTAAGCCCTATAGGAGAATTGTCATTTAATTGATAGCACTTTCCTTTGTATATAGGAAGTTCCTTGAAGGTGATTTTCTGGCCAGCTTCTATGTTGATGTTATCTGAGACACTGTCAGTAAAATTCTCCATTCATTTTCTCATGAGGTCTAGAGCTGTAATTATTTTTCGTACAGTCTCAGTCTTCATTCCCCACATCCTGTTAATCTCAATCCATTTCTCAATAATTTTCATGGAGGTGTTTGTCTCAGATGGTACTGCTATGTCAATAAGCATACACTGTGAATTTCTTGTCTTTTATGATAATATTAGGCCTGTTGGCTTTTATTTCCCTGTCAGTTTGTATTGGCATGTCCCAGAGGATAGTTACATCATTATTTTGGGTAACTGTGTTTGGTTGCTGTTCTTACCATCTCTTGATTATTCTATTTTATTTTACTGAAATGCAAAGTTGTATATTTTCTTTGTCATTTTTA